TATTTCCCACAAAACGAGAACGCCAGAGCCATTAATTTGGGCTAATCGGCAAGTCGCCCCCAATTCGTGACACATTTCAGAATACCACCAATCCTCATTTATTTTGGGCAAAAATGCCGGGAAAGATATTTTCATAAAAATTTATGTGGAACTGCGAATGTGCAGTTGAGAAGTCGCCCTCGGCCTTACTATCGCGGACTGAGGGTAAAAAATTGCCGCCTCTAATCCTGAGGAGCGGGCAATAAAGAGGACTGATCTGTTTGGACGGACGGGGCGAGTGGGCCGTTTCCGCAGAGATCGGTCCGGTGTGGTGTCTGTGGCGACGTTAACGGAGACAGATGGGCCGGCGAGGCTGGGCAATTATGGCGCGCCATTTTTGGTCCATGATTGAGACTCCCTCGGAATCAAAGGCGCCAGGTGCGCCTGGATCTGTGGAGGTCGAAATGCAGCTACGCACCGTGAATTGTAGAATTAGCTACGACGTTTGTATTACCAGAGCCCATTTTTACTGGATTTCTCCCGCTAAATTTGAACGTTTTGAAAAATACCTGTATCTCATTCGGCTGAGGTATATTTTTACCTGCTGGCATTAAATAATTACTCTGAGGCCATTCCTTTGCTGTAACAGCCATCCTGTGCCGTGGATCGTCTGCCCACGGTACAAATGGCTGCTGCTGGAATCTCCCAAGCCCTGCCCAGATACCGTTCTGAAGTTGTTTGATGTGTTTTCACGCCACCTACCACCGTGTATTTTACGGTGCGCGGGATGATACAGTGCTGTCATTGTGTTCTCCGGTTGGCTGGAGGTTCTCCCACGCCTCCGACCACTCTATCCCATCCCTCCGTCTCCCGCTGCCTCCTCCATCCCTCCACCTCGCTGTCTGGCCGTGGTCCCGCCGCCGGTCTGCCGGCTGAGGCATCCGTCTCGTGACAGTGCCGTCCCACTACCGCCGCCGGTCCGTCTCATGACAGCACGGTGCCGCCGCGGACGCCATCGGACGGTGTCGGACACGGGAGCGGCCGTCTGAGCCATGAAATAATACGTCTCCGCGCGCGTCACGGGCGCACGGGTCGCCGGTAGTCGCGGCTCTCAGCACCAGTGGTAGGCTAGGCTGGGAGGCTGGGGATACCGCTGGTCGCGGGGAACTCGGACTGTCCTCGTGTCAGTAACACACTGATGAGAGGGGAGGGACATCGTGTTGAAGTCGGACGGACGGTCCGCAATGTCCCGAGTCCCGAATGGACTGGTTTGTAACCAGTGCTGGCATCCCATAGAAATGGAGCAGGCACTTAACCGCCGTGCTCTGGTCTGGCTATAAGCCCGCGTTGGCCGCGATAGGCCAACTGGTCGGATGTCGCGTTGTGCCGTGCTATATCGTTCCCGACTGGCGAGCCCGGCCGGCGCGGAAGGAGCCCGGCGCCGTCACGGCCGCGGCGGCCGACATCAGTTCCGGCCGGGCCGCTCACGGAACTGTTTATTCATCAGTGCGCGGCGCGCGCGCAGCCGCCGGGTGTGAAGCTCGGGCAGTGCCCCCGCGCGCGGCTCCTCCGCGGAATGCAGCCGGCAGTCGTTAACATTACGGTCGGCGGTCGCCGATGGAGGCGGCCACCGTCCTCAGTGAGCCGCCAGCCGTCACCGAATTTTTATTCGACTGCGTGGGATTCCCATGAATATTGGACAGCATATTTCGGGAGCTGTTTCTCGCGCGCGGCCTCGGGTGAGGAATTCTCGGGATGTGCGCACGGCGCAGGGCATGAAGGCTGTATGATCGTAACCAAGGCTGTGTCCGCCTGATCTGTGGCCGGAGATGTGCAGAGACAGAGCGGACGGGCCGGGAAGGCCGCGTCATCAATGTGTCCTCGGCCATTAGTCCGGTGACGGTCCGGCGGTGCCCGCGGGCGGGCTCGCAGAGAGTACCGCCGAGGCCGCGCGGGTCGGTGTCACTGCTCTGCTGGTGACGCGCCGTGTCGGACGCATTGTGCGCCCGCTGCCGACTCATCCGGCCAGATGTCGGAGACGCGCGATGACGTCTTTGTTGGCGATGACGGCCGGGCCTCCCGGAGTCGGCGGATGACGGGCAGCGCCGCCGCGCAGCGCCCCCGCTGTGTCTTTGAGCGGCGGCTGTTGGCGGTGGTCAGGCGTTTCAAGGTCTCAAGGCCGCTGCGCTGCCATCCTTTTTTGAGATGTAACAGGTGCGCTGCCGGCCAGCCTTGCGTTCGGTCGGTGACGCTGGGTGCGACGGCCCGCCGAGCGGAGCACTCCGTCCGTCCGTCCGTCCGTCCGTCCGTCCGGTATGGCACGGCGGCTGTGCCGTGGCGGCACGAGACAGGCGGTGGAACTCGGGACGGCGTGGGGGACCACCGGGCGGTGCCGGGCCGTGGCACGGCCGCGCGAGGTGGCGTGCCAGAGAGCCCGGAACGCCCCGGCGCTATACAGTATACATGTTGCAGGCACTTTAGAAAATCAGTCCTTTTGTAAAATGCCTAGGCATTTTGCAAAATGCCTGATTTTCCAGGCTTTTTGCAAAAAGCCTAGGCATTTTACAAAATGACTGACTCTCCAGTCATTTTGCAAAATGCCTAGGCATTTTACAAAATACCTAGCCATTTTACAAAATGACTGAGCAGCGTGTTGTAGATACGAGTACCTAATTATATACGTTTTGGTAGCGTGTAGGTGGACCGAGGAGTCCAGCATTATGACCAGAGGAGTCCAGCAGTGGGAAGTCCATACCTACCTCTATTTTGAGAAGTGCAGGCCCGCGACATTTCCAACCCCGACGTCAGCGACGCTGCTGGATTTAAAATGATCGATCTGGAGCGTCAACAAACGACTGGCCCTATGCCGGCCTGTATCTGTAAGACTATTAGAGGTCGCGAGGATTCGATCCCACACACTTAGGCGTTAGTGTCTTCTGAAACCAACGCGCTCGTCCTACGCCAAGCGACCTGATGATTCTCCCGATGTGGAGCTTGATATTTTTAACTGGAGCCATGCAAGTAGGTACTCAAAGCTGTTGCCACAGAACAAAATTAATCGTGTTTTGTTAATTATTGCTTTAATATTCATTGTGATCAGAGAGCTTTTTTATTAAAAAAAAAGTTAGGAAGAAAACCTAAACAATAATACTGTAAACAATTGCGTGGACTAGGCCTAGGGTAGACTTGTTGAAGTTCCTTAGAGCCAATGAGCGCTGTCCAGTCAACTGAGGAGGGGAGGGGTGGTCCACACTGGGCTTCTTTGTTGATATGTGGGCTGTGAGTGAGCGTCCGTGCGTGTCGCGAGTGCCTCGTGGACCGTTATGTCGCGTCCAGAATTCGACCGCAAGGTGGCGGAGATCATAGACTCAAGTGCTGGCAAAAACCATCAATTCATAACGAACCAGGAACAGACAGAAATAGTAGACTTTTTATCAACCTACAGTCAGTCAGTCTAGTTTCAGGCAGAACATGAACGGCGTTGATGTACTTGGGAGTTTTTACAGCGTTAACTAAACAATGTTTTATGCTACAGCCGAGTCTGCAACTCAACCTGGTCGTTACACAGCATTGTCGTCATCACAGAGCTTCAGATCGATCAGCTACAGGCTGAACACGTACCTATAGGGTATAGGAAGACGTCCAAAAACTGTTGGCCATAGTATCTGTAGTGGGATCTACGTTCCATGCTGGTCAGGCATTTTGCAAAATGCCTAGTCATTTTGTAAAATGGCTAGCCATTTTGAAAAAAGCCTGGTTGCGTTCAGTCATTTTTCAAACAGCCGTCTTTTTGTAAAATGCCTAGGCATTTTACAAAATGACTGATTTTCTAAAGTGCCTGCAACATACATACACAACGTGCGGATAAAAACACCGCCAATCGGTCACCTGACGACCGTTCGTGTCAGTCGTCACCGACATTGTGTCTGAGGTCCAGTTACACGGTGGGCTATTTTTATGTCCCCCAGGGCTGAATTTCCAGGGGTCGGATTTGCCGGATGCGGTCTGCCCATTATCCTGCTGACTCGCGCGAATGGACCTCGATGGAATCGCGTCTACCGAGAAAGGGTAACTTGGTTGCCTTGTTGTGCCCACATCAAAGACAGTTGTGCTGTTTTCTACAGAGAACGCCTTTGAAAGTTGTGTCGATTGGTCGGCTCAGCCTCCGTAAATCCCAGTCTGACCGCCCTTTCCTGGATTCGCCCAAACGGTCCGGTCACGTCTTCGCGAGTTCCATTTTCATTTCTTTCTCCCTTCCCACGAAGCTGTATGGAAAGCTCGGCTATTCTGGCCACGGCCGTTCGTTCACGTGCGCCAAGGGCCGGTCCCAAGGTCGTCTTCAGAGCATACATGTGGGTATGCCGACGGTGGGAGTGGCGGCTAGTTGGGAGCTGAGCCATCACCCGCCCGAGGCCGGGCTGTGAGGAGGGGGCGCAGTGGACGGACGCCATTTGTTGTGGCCCACCGCCTCCCGGCGACAAAAACTCACACGGAGCCGGCCATTACACGACCGACAGCCGCCCAGGACGACAGCCGGTATTAATTACTCCAATATTTGCGCTCGGCCGGCTGCTGAAGGCCGTTTTTGCCTCGATCGGGGTGTGTCGTATGGTTTATGTCCCTAGCGTCGTATGGTTTATGTCCTTAATTCGCCTCTTTTATCCATGGTCACGCTAACAAGACCACCTGCCGAGATCGGGGCTCATCTCACCCGGCGCCCTTTGGACCACCCACTCGCCCGCTGAAACTCGTTACCGGCATGCTAATAAACAAGCACACATGCCGATAGCTAGATACAACTAATAAACCTTTGCCCTCTTAGTACTCGTCTAGGCCTAACCCGAGCCTGAGACTCTCCCATGAGACGTTCAGCATCTGCAGTCCGACCCCACCCGTGTACCGGAGGAAGAGCGGCTACCCGGGGCTGTCCGTCGGCGGTGGACCCCAGAAGCACGCACAGACCCGTGTACCCATGGGGAGAGGGGTCCCGTCGACTCCCGGTGATCCCCCGGGCTACTCACCGGCCTCCTGTCCGTCGGCGGTGGAGCCGAGCAGCACACACAGGCCCGTCTCGTAGTTGAGCGCCTGGCAGCTGGCGTTGCGGCGGCACAGGTCGATGCAGTCGGTCAGCAGCAGAGTGCCCGTCTGAGAGTCGATGACGAACGCCGGCGCGCTGTAGGCGTACCCGGTCACCACCTCGAAACTAACCGCCTCCTCGGGACAGTCGGAGGCGGCTGGGGTGGCGACTGGGCCCGCCGAGCCCAGCGGGAGCGGTGCTGCGGTCTCCTCAGCCACCGGAGCTGGGGCGGCCGGCTCCGGTACGGCCGGGTCGACCTCCTGGGCGACCGCCGCGGCCGCCAGCCACGTCAACAGAACGAGACTCGAACGCATCTCGGATACCCTGAAATGAGACAGGAGGGTGCGAGTTAGCAGGGAGGAAGCCGACTTCAAATGAGGTGCAATGTAATGAAGGAAAATCGACAAAGTATGGAGACACATTGTGTCTTCAGGGTCGAAAGACAAGATGCAAAGACATGCAATATTCGGGAACTGCAGCGCTCGATTCAATTCGACATTGCAAGCTAATTATCGCCTTTGATTAACGGTATCGTCTCGCCCCAGCACGTGTTGACGTGCCATCCCCGTCACGGTGGGTGCTAAACGCCTCGGTGATTAGCCACCTTGCCACATTAGCATGTCACCGCCGCGCTGACAGCGGCGCGGTGGCCCTCCACCTGTCGACTATTTACCGCCGCACCTCTGACCCCGCGATGAGCCGGAGACGGTTCAGCGCCCCTCCCCGCGGCACGGCCGGCCGGCCGTCACTGTGGGCGCGCTGCAGCGACCTCGGCGGCCGCTGCACGACCTCCGCTAACGGAGCGCGCGCGCCGCCCGGCAATCATCGCGCACCGGCACGCGCCGACAATCGGCGCCGCCGCCGGTGCGCGTCGTGATTAGGTGCACTGCACGTCACGGCGGCGGCGTCTGTCGGCTGTCACGGCACGCGCCACTCTGAGGTCACGGATGGGTCCCGGACCGTCACGGGACAGATGGAGAGGCTCCGCGGGGTCACGAGACGCCCGAGAGGAGGTTTCCCGGTGTCACGGAGCCCCGGGCTTGGATTGTGAGGCGACCCCCGCTGGGATTGGTGTGCCATGACCGACGTCCCGTGGCCGGCTCGGCGGGGATTCTCGGCTGGTGCTAGTGCCCTGTGCAGGCAGGCAGTCTCCGGCGGTGCGGGTTAGGTATATGGTCTCCATTGCAGTCTCCGCGGCGGCGGGTCAGCTGATCGCCGCGCGCCGGTCTGAATGGCCACGATGCCTGCAGTGATAGCGCGGCAGGGCGATCCCGCTGCGCCAGCGCCTGCATGGCTTTTGATAATGCAGTTAATATTTTTTTCTAACATGAATATAGAGCGTTCGTGATAGATGAGATAATGTGAATTCGTTAATTCTTTTTAGGCCAAACATTGAGGCTGCAATGTCACGAACTTTTCAAGCATACCGTGACTTATCGCGTTCACATTCAAGCTTCACCATATTTGCCAAGGTTAATGCGATAGTAGCTGCATTAACATCTATACTACTATTTGAACAGGATCCGTCTGTTTGTTTGTTTGTTTGTCTGTCCGCCACGTCGTGTAGTGGGTTCAATTTAGCCGGCCTACAGGGCAGACGGTATATCGTAGGGGGTTGAAATTTGCACACCTTATAGGTGACAAAGCGGGTCAGTGCCTTTTCTAGGTTTCGGCTCGCTGGGTTGCACGGTTCGCGCGTGGGGCGCGCCGGAAGAACGCCAATGAAATTTTGATCGGTTCTTATATCTTCATTGAGAGCCGGGGTCGACAAACTTTGTGGACTAAATGCATGCCGATCGGCGGCGAGTGCCTCGCATTGGCGGATGGGCAGGTTTTAATTTGAATAAAAAGTGGCGAAAAAATGTGTTGATTTTCGTTCAATGGAAACAGTTTGTGATACGAGTATACAAATGCACCGTGTTTGCCGCATTGCGCCACTTTGGTGACAAGGCGCCATTTTTGCCGCAAATCGCAGTTTTGTCAAATATGGTCCGATAAGGGTACAATTTGGTGCCAAGATGCATGCTCAATCGCCGGGTGAAAATGCACCGCGTTTGTCGCAATGCGCCACATATGCCACAAAGCGCCATTTCCGACAAATACGATTCGGCGTTGTGGAATGGCACGAATAGGGGCAGGGCTGGGAACACTTTAAGTATGGTTTTAATACTTATTGGATCCAATTGGTCTGTGACCTGACATGACCCAGCGGTATTGGTAGGGGTAGGGGTAGGGGTAGGGGTAGGGGTAGTGGTAGGGGTAGGGTAGTGGTAGGGGTAGTAGTAGGGGTAGGGGTAGTGGTAGGGGTAGTGGTAGGGGTAGTTGTAGGGGTAGGGGAAGTGGTAGGGGTAGTGGCAGGGGTAGTGGTAGGGGTAGTGGTATGGGTAGTAGTAGGGGTAGTAGTAGGGGTAGGGGTAGTAGTAGGGGTAGGGGTAGTAGTAGGGGTAGGGGTAGGGTAGGGGTAGGGTAAGGGTAGTGGTAGGGGTAGTGGTAGGGGTAGGGGTAGTGGTAGGAGTAGTAGTAGGGGTAGGGGTAGTGGTAGGGATAGTAGTAGGGGTAGGGGTAGGGTAGGGGTAGTGGTAGGGGTAGTGGTAGGGGTAGTGGTAGGGGTAGTGGTAGTGGTAGTGGTAGGGGTAGTGGTAGGGGTAGTGATAGTGGTAGGGGTAGTAGTAGGGGTAGGGGTAGTAGTAAGGGTAGTGGTAGGGGTAGTGGTAGGGGTAGTGGTAGGGGTAGGGGTAGTGGTGGAGGCAAAAGTAGAACAGGGGTCCGGGCTGATCCCATCAGACGAGAGGTGACCTATGTGACCTGGCCTGACCCAGAGTGACCAGGGCTGACCCCTATGACCCGTCTTGACCCCGTATCACCCAACTTTCATCCAACGAAGTCCTCAGAGCAGTATTTTTTAAATTCTCTTCACATTTCCGTCCATATCTATGCTTCTAGACGACACATCGATATGAATCAAACACCATTCGAAAGCAAATTGGCTGGTGCCGCAATTTTTTCCTACCACGCAGCAAAGCAAGTGGCGCAGCCGCTTGTCTAACTTACTATTTGAACAGGATCCATCTGTTTGTTTGTTTGTTTGTCTGTCCGCCACGCCGTGTAGTGGGTTCAATTTAGCCGGCCTACAGGGCAGACGGCACGGCGCAGGGGGTTGAAATTTGCACACCTTCTAGGTGACAGAGCGGGTCAGCGCCTTTTCTAGGTTCCGACTCGCTGGGGTGCACGGTTCGCGCGTGGGGCGCGCCGGAAGAACGCCAATGAAATTTTAATCGGTTCGTAGATCTTCATTGAGAGCCGGGGTCGACAAACTTTGTGGACTAAATGCATGCCGATCGGCAGCGGGTGCCTCGCATTGGCGGATAGGCAAGTTTTAATTTGAATAAAAAGTGGCGATAGAATGTATAGATTTTCATTCAATGGGAACAGTTTGTGATACGAGTTTGCAAATGCACCGCGTTTGCCGCAAGGCGTCACATTGGTCACAGGGCGTCATTTTTGCCGCAAATCGCACAGTTTTGTCAAATATAGTCCGATATGGGTGCAATTTGGTGCCAGGATGCATGCTCAATCGCTGGGTGAAAATGCGCCGCGTTTGTCGCAATGCGCCACATATGCCACAAAGCGCCATTTCCGACAAATACGATTAAGCGTAATGGAATGGCATGAATAGGGGCAGGGCTGGGAACACTTTAAGTCTGATATCTATACTACTATTTGAACAGGATCCATCTGTCTGTCTGTCTGTTTGTCCGCCACGCCGTGTAGTTGGTTCAATTTAGCCGGCCTACAGGGCAGACGGTATATCGTAGGGGGTTGAAATTTGCACACCTTAAAGGTGACAGAGTGGGTCAGCGCCTTTTCTAGGTTTCGGCTCGCTGGGGTGCACGGTTCGCGCGTGGGGCGCGCTGGAAGCACGCCAATGAAATTTTGATCGGTTCGTAGATCTTCATTGAGAGCCGGGGTCGACAAACTTACTGAGCTAAATGCATGCCGATCGGCGGCGGGTGCCTCGCATTGGCGGATGGGCAAGTTTTAATTTGAATGAAAAGTGGCGAAAAATGTGTTAATTTTCGTTCGATGGAAACAGTTTGTGATAAGAGTTTACAAATGCACCGCGTTTGCCGCAATGCGCCACAATTATCTCAGGGCGTCATTTTTGCCGCGAATCGCACAGTTTTGTCAAATGTAGTCCGATATGGGTGCAATTTGGTGCCAAGATGCATGGTAAATCGCCGGGTGAAAATGCGCCGCGTTTGTCACAATGCGCCACATACGCCACAAAGCGCTATTTCCGACAAATACGATTAAGCGTAATGGAATGGCACGAATAGGAGCAGGGCTGGGAACACTTCAAGTCTTATTTTTAGTACTTATTATTATATTAACTTAGTCCGTGACCTGACGTGACCCAGTGGTGTTGGTAGGGGTAGAGGTACGGGCGTTTTTTGCGGCGTTTGCGGTTGGCGGAGGGCGGTCGCGCGATGCGGGCGGTTTTCAGTTTTACAGCATTTGCGGTTGGCGGCGGGCGGGCGCGCGCTGCGGGCGGTTTTCATTTGTTGCGGCGTTTGCGTTTGGTGGCGGGCGGGCGCGCGATGCGGGCGTTTTTTTGCGGCGTTTGCGGTTGGCGGCGGGCGGGCGCGGGATGCGGGCGGTTTTCATTTTTGCGGCGTTTGCGTTTGGTGGCGGGCGGGCGCGCGATGCGGGCGGTTTTCATTTGTTGCGGCGTTTGCGTTTGGTGGCGGGCGGGCGCGCGATGCGGGCGGTTTTAATTTTTTGCGGCGTTTGCGGTTGGCGGCGGGCGGGCGCGGGATGCGGGCGGTTTTCATTTTTTGCGGCGTTTGCGTTTGGTGGCGGGCGGGCGCGCGATGCGGGCGGTTTTCATTTGTTGCGGCGTTTGCGTTTGGTGGCGGGCGGGCGCGCGATGCGGGCGGTTTTAATTTTTTTTTGCGGCGTTTGCGGTTGGCGGCGGGCGGGCGCGGGATGCGGGCGGTTTTCATTTTTTTTGCGGCGTTTGCGGTGTTGTTCGCGGTTGGAGGCGGTCGTTTTTTATTTTTGTTTGTGCGATGTTTGCGTTCGTCGGCGGACGGGCGTTTTTTTTCAATTTGCTTTCGCATTTGCTCACCACGCAGCAAAGCAAGTGGCGCAGCCGCTTGTCTAACTTACTATTTGAACAGGATCCGTCTGTCTGTCTGTCCGCACTTGGTCTCCCCAATATATTGCAGTTCGCACCGTCTGCAATATATCCAGGCGCATCATCCTGGATGGGTAGTGGGTTCAATTCCACTCGCCTACAGGGCAGACGGTATATCGTAGGGGGT